CATAGCTTACTGCGTAATTACTGACAATTTCATGTCCAAAGTAGAAAAGCTGCATATTATTCTTGTAAGTAAGTAGAATCGTATGCAAGCACTATATATTTGATGAATAAAGTTCGTAACGCGAACCACATCAAAATCAAAATTGAAGTCACAATTAATTGAAACTGAATTTTTTAAAAAGTTTTTTTTTTGAATTTGTCAACATTCCCATTCGATTTATAGAAATTCTAGAAAACATAACATCACAGTAGTTTTGATTTTTTTTTGATGGACAAACTATATTGATTTTGGAAGTTTTGGTTTCCAATACAAGCTGGACGATTCACACATTTCTTCTGTGTTAGGAATTAGGTTTGTATAGGACTTATATATATATATATATATAACTTCTGATTTGAATGATTTCTGATTAGCTCAAATGTGTGCGTTTCGTGGGTGATTTGAAGTATTCGCCGAGTAGACAATTAATCTTCTAGTAGATATATAGTGAATACCGTTCAACAACTGCTCTCATAGCGAATACTGCGAAACACCAAATCAAATTCAACAGAACTACTTCTGGCATTTTACACATCACGGTAAAAGCAAATCGATTTACCGTGTAATATTAACATATATGTGTTGACTCTATTTCAAAGGAATTGAAAGAGTGACCCACTACAACTGACAAACAACTTTATGAAGCTAAAGCTAAAGAACGTTGGTTTCTGGAGATGTTCTACAAAACATTTAAATTTCTCTGGGCTAACATGTGATTCAGTTTTACTGAATAGTCGAACGTGCTTGATATGTAATATATTGTAATATACAACGAAGATGGAGCCGCAGTACATGCATACAGAAATAATGACGACAATAAGCAGAAGCGTGTTCTTGTCAATTGGTTATGGACTACGGATACAGAAAAGAACACCACAATAAAAACAAAACAGTTACAAGTTTCTGGAAGTCAACAAGTAACTACACGTGATTGCACTAAAACATATTTTCGTGTCTATTTTACTCCGTTTCTTCTTATAGTGTTTTCCTAACACTTCCGGTCAGTAATAAATGAAAATACCATAATGCCAAATTTACATTGCACGAAGATTGTTTTCCAACACGCAAATTACGAATCAAGTACCATTCCAATCGGAAGCTGGAAGAATGAAATTACCAACTAACAGTTCAGTTACATTAATTATGACACTTTTTACACCGTACACAACTCAAAGCCTATGCACAAAAATAACAGTTTTAATATAATGAAGAGTGCTTCGCATTCCACTGCCATAAAATCATTTATCAATCAATCAAATAAACAATCAGTTTATCGATAATTTTACTGATCAATATAATTCAGTACTAAATCTGGGAATACAGCTTCATTTGTACACGAGTTCGTGAAATTTATGTTGATTATTTTCATTTTTCGTGGGTGATTATATTAATTCCTTGGCCACAGGGTCAATATATGCTTGTTACGTGCAGTGTTTACATAGCGTAAACTGTTTCCATGGAAACGAGTATGGATGTATGAAGGTTCTGGCTTAGTATAACAATTTGTGATGCTGTAAGGTTAATTGAAGGCCCATTAAATTGAGAGATATGTTTGTTATGTTTACTCGCATTAGCATATCAAGAAATAACCACTGAGTAGTTACGTCGTAGCGCTTTCAGAGTTGTAACCGCTGCCATAGAAACGAGTATGGATCCTGAATGTTATTAATTTTAAAATTATACCTTACGTTATGGGTAGATGAGCGGCAGACATAATGCAAAGTTAATTACTATCGGTAACACGTGAGCGGAACGAAATGACAACTCGGCGTATTTACCAATGAAGGTCTTATCCTACTCATTTTCATTAGATGATAGGCATTCACCACAACGTGATAGGCATTCACCACAACGTGATAGGCATTCACCACAACGTGACAGGCATTCACCACAACGTGACAGGCATTCACCACAACGTGACAGGCATTCACCACAACGTGATAGGCATTCACCAGCACGTGATAGACATTCACCACAACGTGATAGACATTTCCACAACGTGATCGGCATTTCCACAACGTGATAGGCATTCACCACAACGTGATAGGCATTCACCACAACGTGATAGGCATTCACCACAACGTGATAGGCATCGACTAATTTCCATTCTCCTCAATGATACACAATGGTTTAGTCCCCTATTTTACGCTACGACTCGAAACAGTTGTTTTATGTTTCACGTGTTTATTTGCCTTTAATTACTTGTTGGTGGTCGTCACTGCCGTCCCTTGAATCTTGCCGTATCCTGTATAGATAGTCCTCTACGCAAAATGAACTTCGTGTTCAGCGCGACTTACATTGTAGCAATGTTCATGTCACTGCACGTAAAGACACTAGAGGTTTTTAAGGATAGCGGGAATAGAAGCAAATAGATGGGAATACCATTTACATCAATCATGAAGATTCAATTTTAGATTGCTGGCCGGGATAGCTGTATTTAGTGTTCATTTCAATGCAATTTGTCCATACTGTCCAATCTGTCAGTAGATGCCTGTCGCGGTACTTATCGGGGAAACAATCATAATATTATTATTATTCTACACGCCGAGTGGTCGTTTTGCTATACTCAGGTGTTACTGGTAGTAAAACACTCATTGGCAGAGCTGTTCGGCACATTCAAACATATTTTAGTTGTTATGGTTACTCGTCGTTATAATTGCCCAATATTTAAGATTAATACGTTGTACAAGACGTGTACGCGAACAGTATTTTTTATTCTAGATTGTGAAATGCAACCATGATACAATTTGCTGAAATGTACAACTAATTCTACTCCTACACGTGTAGCGGGTTGGAATTTCAAACAGACTGCTGAATTATAGTTGTGAAGTATATATTGAAAACTGTTCGTAAACGATAGTTTGCACGATTCTTTCTCACTTAGACTGTAAATCCTGTAGGCAAGTGTCTTCGTGGGTAACAATAGAGTATTCACTTTCTCCAATCGTTTCTATTGATACATTGCTTACTCGCCAAATTGACAGACCGCGCGCTGGGTGATTAAGGTTATAACGTGGTCATGGGACAGCGTGATATTATTTATAAATGCGTTCTAAATCATTTACCTGGTAAACGACATACGAATCAGGCGGTGCATGAAAATGTGTTAGAATTCAAAGCGCATACTCTTAGGCTCTATAAAATGATACTTTCTGCCAACATATAATTGATATTTTAAGGCGTGTGATTGTGAATATACAAGGATATTGAAAACCAAATATGTTTTTATTAATAAGCACTATTGGAACAGATTCAGAGAAAAAACAAACATTCCATTTATTGAGAGATAGATTTGCGACAGATAAGCTAGTAAAAATTCTGCAGCTAACGATTTTCTAAAACATAAGTTGCAAATATCATTCATCACTTGATAATCGATGTGCATAAAAATGAATACCATAGAGGTGTAACAATTAACTCATGGTGCGTACATACATGTATTGGACAATTGAAACATTTGACATGTGAAACGAACACAATTGGAACTATGTGCTACTGTAATGGTTTGTTTTCACAAAAATATTTTTTTTGTTCGTTTTAGATTTTTTTCTAATAATTTCTTGTATTGATATCAGAAATGAGGAAATTAAGAACATTACTACCCTACAGTAGCACATTTTAAGCGAATCCAATTATCCCGAAATAGTTCCAATTGTGTTATTACGACATTATGTAGTGAAATATTTAAATGCAGATTTCAACACCAGGTCTGTGATTGATTGTGTGGAACTCTGAAAGATAAATATGTGTGTGGGATATATTAAGCTTAATGTTATTTTTCGAGATACGTGGTTTTAGACTTGTTATATGTGTTGTATGCGTGCCAACCGAAAGTTGCCTAATTCCCAATCTACATGTAATTAGTAGAGTCGAATATAGGCGAGATGAATAAAAAAAAAACATTGATTATTGCTGAGTAGGAATACCAAGTGGGAATCATCTGCAGATTTTAGACGGTTTCACTTATAACCCGTATATGCCATAGTTTCCATGTAAAATGTATACTCATACGCGTGACACATACCAATGTCAGTGATGTTTACGTGTGAGATTGCATGGTAATGTCCCATAGAGATGAACACATAATAATAGTAGGACTTAATGATTGCACAAAATACGTGATACTCTGCGACTAGTGTTCTGATACTTTCATTACTCGACGTGTTATATTCAAAGGGCGTTCCAATATAAACAGTAATATTTGTACATATTGCATGCGTCGATGCCGGACTAGAGACAAATTACATATACGATTATTATTTATAAAACAAATTATTTCACCCAAATATGAAAATGCTAAAAAAACGGTTACCAATATGTCGAGGTAACTTATTGATTTCCATGTGTCTACTGTTATAACGATTCAGTCTTTTGAAAATGGCGATATACCTGATCAAGTCTCGGTATACTTAGTTTAAGTCAGAGAAGTCGAGAGAAGGGAATTCTCGCCATGTACGCTATGGTGATGCCTGGTCAAAATTAACAATAATCGTTGGCGCAATATATACTTAAGTGAACAGCAACAATAACATTTTTGAGAAGGACGTGTTATACATTTGAGAAAACAAGAGAAATTAAAATATATGTATTAAGAAGTTGCGCACCACCTAAATAAAAATATAATGATACGTACTCACCTCGTTGTTTTTGTTTTGCAAATCAGCAACCAACTTTTTAAAAATCTTTATACGACATAATGTTCTCCAATGTAACACCTCATACGAGATCGCATTTTCGTATTTTGGTGGCTGCGATACAATGCAGGTACGGAGATATATTGTGCAATATATTTGTGAAATCTCAACAACTGTGTCTGCGTGACTATATATATATAGTCTATAAACTATGGGTAATATACTATATTTAGTTGAATGTGTGAATTTGTCTATATTTGCCAACTTGTTAATGTAAATCTCTTATTTGTTTCAGAAGTGCACGTGGTCACAGAGTCTCAAATCACAATGACGGGCAACCAAACTGACAGTTCAGTGACATCCAGCTCCGAATACAAGCTGGCCATCCTTTATGCAATCGTTGGTACCATTGGTCTACTGGGAAATATGTTTGTTTGTTACGTATTCTACCGTATACGTCGCTTACGATCCATAACTAATTTATTCATTATCAACCAGTCTGTAATCGACATGATAAGCTCTCTCATCTTTCTCATCTTGAAACTGGGCCCAATTAAGTTGCCTTCGAAAGGCATCTCAGGAAGCCTGTTCTGTAAATTCTGGTATTCGGAGTACTTGATGTGGTCGCTGTTTCTTGCATCTACTGCTAACTTGTGCGTTGTTACGCTAGAGCGTTACTTCGCCATTTGTCACCCGGTTTTTCATCGGAATAAGTTTAACAAAAAAGCGGCAAAGATAATCATAGCTATAGTTTGGCTATATGGTTTTCCCATCGAGTTGCTTTGGGGATTACCATTTCACCACAGTGGCGAACATTGCGCAATAAAATACATCAGCCGAGAGTTCAGTTTAATTGTTGGCGTCTTATTTTTCTGTATAGCGTGGTTCTTTCCATTGGTGTTAATGGTTGTGTGTTACGTCCAAATTATCAAGAGGCTAAGCGGCAACAAATTAAATCCGAGTGACAACGCTGATCGCCATTCATCCAATAACAATTCTACCTTCCGTCGAGCACAGAGAAACGTGGTGAAGACACTTTTTATCGTATCTATGACGTACGCCCTCTGTTGGGGACCAAATGAAATTGCTTTACTGCACTTCAACATGGGTGGTTATTTAGATTTTTCTAGTGATTATTATTTTTTCTCAGTGGTACTTGTTTTCTGTAATCCTTGTATAAATCCATTCATTTACGTATTTCAGTATCATCAATTCCGTGACAAAATTCCTATTGCGTTTGGTTGTAAAAAGGCGAGTACGACAGACGAAAGAACTGGTACAGTGACAGGTTCGGAAATGCATACAGATGCTTAGAAGACCGTTTTGGGACGGTCTCTGGAAAAAAAGTGTGTTTACCACAAGTAAATTGAATGCTTAAACGCAAGAACGGATATTCTCACGCGGCAATCGTTGTACAATACTTATATACACTGTGGCCTCGTTATAATGAACATTTTTATAATGAACTTTCTGATATAACGAACACATAGCATGTCTCACAACAAACCCATTGTTATATGTGATTAATTGAAGTGAACACTCCACTATAACCGACTGCGTGTAACTATATGCCACAAAAAAGTTTGTTATAACGATGTTACAGTGTATGTGATTACGTGGTGTTCCAACACAAGAGTCGCGTTCAGGCTACACCAAGTACGGGCTATTTCTCAGGTTACATATGAAATCATTTTCGCAATTTCTGACAACAGATTCTATGATGTCATACTTTACCCATAATCCTTTGCTTGAAAGTCAAGATGGCTGACTACATAATACTGATGAAAAGTTGAATATGTAGAGAATAAAAAGTGATATTAAAAAACTGTAAATTGCATTCTCCTTCATTTGTGGAGCTTTTTCTTTAGAGGTCATTATGTTGTTTGGATTGATGTTTCCTTTAAGACTTCTGTAACTTCCCATTGCCCATCCAAAATCTCAACGTCTCATTTTGAATATAATACTGGACAGGTCATGATATCCCATAGATTTGCAAAGTGAAAATGGAAAGTAATAATATTAATAATTCATGAAACCACGGTGGAATACTGAAATAAAACCAATGAACGATATATGTATACCCAGCCAAAGTGAACGTTGAAACATGGGTCACACCATAAAGATGTCACAATCGTTCAATTAGTATTAAACCTCAAACTAGTATTACTAGTCTGAGATTAAACATAGACGTTCCATATCTATTAATATGTAAATTGTTGTCATACAACGCATCATTTCATTTTAGTTATTTGCAATTATACTGACTAAAGTAGCGACAAGGGAATTAACTATAAATACTCTTTTATATCTGACTGAACACGAAACAACGATAATGTATACACAATATGGGTGGGTGTTTTTTTCGTGTAGTTAGTTTACATCGAGTCACCGAAAGTCTTGTTCACTTGGACACACGTATTTTGTTTGTCAATGTTTACGTTCGGAACATCGCATAGCATGATATCCCTCCGCGAGTAGGACATATGTTCTGTTTACCCATCGTAACGACAAGTATTTTGTCACTTTCCGTCCGTGAGTGCAGATGCTGATGAAAAAAAAAACGTTCGGTAGTTGGGGGGGGGGGTGCACGAACCACATGCAGTGGAGAAAAGGGAAGATGAAAATTAAAGGGCGGTAGTCGTCACGCCACGCATGTTCGAAATATATGGGTCTCGTATAAACAAAGATGGCGAATTTGACTGTTGCGCAGATCAACGAGTACAAACTGAGACGTTACGAAACTTTAATTAGGTACTTTTTAGTAGATGGTTGGAAGGTATCGAAGGAGTCACTGGCGGTAATTAGTGCAAGTCGCACCCAGGTAAAACCTCATACATGTGATTTCCATTAGAAGAGCGCATTGGATTGTGGGAAAATTAATGTTTAACAACACAAATGTCGCACATGCGCAGCGCGACGAATACCGCCCTTTAAACTAGTGGGCAGATTTGTAATTCCATACTGGGAGCCTCAGGGCACGTTCTTAAGGGAGTAGAAAGAGGAAAAAACGCTTTGGCGGTACCTCCATTTTCGTTGATGAAATTTAAAATTGATAGAACAACTATATGAGCACTATTAATAATTTGAATCACGGTTACTAGAAGAACGGTTAGGAAACTCTATTGTTAGATATGCTAATTACCATTGACTTCAATTCTAGTAACCGTGTTTGAATGGAGATGTGCAAAATCGCTCATTGTCTGCCTATGAAACATGCACGTGATCGCTACGGTGTTTCAATATCGCAAGGAGAGGCTTTCAAAACAACTGTCGCAGTTCAAGTAATGTAAGATTAACACCCATAATATTTTTATAGACAGTGTTCTATTAATATTTCACCTGCCGTAACATTAATTAATTATTTAATAATCGTACTCATCATTTAATCGAATTTGTTTCTAATTCCGTCATTCGAAGTGCCACACATTTGTGGCATATTACTGTAATCCATGTACACATTTTAATTAAATAAAACACAAACTGGCACTACTGCCGACGTGATTTTTCAAGCGATAATACAGTATAAAATACAAGACAAAGTTATAAATCAAACATAGTGTTGATGAAGAATGTCTAGACAAATGTAAAATAAAATAAAACATTATTAAAATCGCGTCGAATTCCATATTACACGTGACATGAGAAAGGTGACGTTTGTAGTATCAAATGAATACACAGATCACGTGACGCGAACCCCGCGACTCGACGTCAATGCTTTCTTCGTGGTATAGACCAATATTTTTCTTTTTGTTTTTCGAAGATCTCGCGTGATTTTTCATAAAGTTTGACGTCATAATATAGACTCTGTTGGACTTGGGTGTCGTTCTGCAGTTCTTCTTTCAGTTTTTTAACTTCATCGGACTTCGGCGAGACTAATTTTCCGCCCATTCTGTAAACACCCTTCTGGACCACCAATTTTGAGCACATGTCATGTAATGGTAGACCGTATACTTCTTGTAATAGTCTAAGAGATGCGTCGTACTCTTCTGTTATCCCGATTACACTGAACCAATTCTCTAAATTGCTTATAAAGTAATCTAGCAAAGCCTCCTTCTCTGTGGTGTTGATGGCGCTGTCTAAAAGCATCTTGTGGCGAAACCAACATGGTGGAAAATTACGATTCCGTCCACTAAATTTTAATTTAGGAATCAGAGGACGGATTTTATCTACGTAAGTCTTGTCTGAGCAGATTTCTGTCGGCTTAAATTGCAGTTGGCGAAAGAAATAACTACCTTGGTGCAGCGCCCATTCTTTTAATGTCATCGACCTTGCGTCCCCAGCGGCACAGAGCGGGTCGCCGAGAGCACGCTTACAGAATTCGTGACACGAGATTATTCGCTCATATGGATCACGAAGCAAGGTGAAATAGGAACAAGGCCTTCGTTTGAAATCGTCACAAAGACCAAAAGTGTTTTCACTGACATAAATTCTCCGTGTCGACTGCTTGTGGCTGATTTCCCGGGCGATGTTTGATGCAACGCGCTCGTCCCACATTCCAATGAACTGGGGTAAACGTTTGACGACGGATATTCTCTCAATGCATTTTTTCAACGTACTTCCGCCGGACTTTTGGTTATGAACAAATATCAGATTATAGTCGGCGTATGTCATCGGTGACGTTATAGTGGTATTTACGTCGTTATCGACACTCCTGTCATATTCGTAAAGATAGTAATTTGGGGAAAACCTTTTTCTTTCGAACCATTCATATCTCTGCAGTAGCCCATCTAAAATGGCGTTGTTTGTCTTTTTCTTCGGGTTGTTTTCCGTCACCGGTAGTATACCATGAAGCACATGCAAGGTCGCATTAGTCGAGTTACTGGAAACATGGGATCGATTCTCCAGTGACGTCGTTTCCATATTGGCAACATTGTCACTCGCGAATGGATACCTGGATAATAATAATGAAAAACACAAAAAAAGTAAGTGACTTTTAGACGATGTTTTGTCGGACAACGGGCCCGCTAATCAGACGCCGCGAAAAAGTAATATTTCATCTGCGGGATAAGTGATGAAGAGAGATGTCGTAAAAATACTAAAAAAAAATATTAGACCCGGTTATCCAAAAAAGGAAACAACGCACACACACACACGATGACACAAAATGTTTAGTTCGTCGTTCCCTTACATTGGATAGATCAATATAACTTTGAATAGATAAATGAGATGCTGAATTGTTCGAGTTACGGACACAAAAATACCACGCCCATATTTTAGAAACCACGCTCACTTTTGCAAAACCACGCCCAAAGTGTAACTCGATGTTAAATTAACAGTTAACATACGTTTAACGTATGTTCGATTACTAAATTTGAACGTTAACAACTAGACTGGCGCAGTCGGGGCGATTAATTTGTTTTTGTAGTTCAAATAAAATACAAAACATCGCGAAATGGAGGTGTTAGCGCGAAATCCCCTGTAACTGTGAAATCATCCCGACTGGTTTATTCTGCATGGCCCTCTATCGACACTGCAGGAACCCGTCGATTTTTCAACGGGTAATTATGTTAATGATGTTCTAATTGACAATCATCTAAGCCAATCACAACGTCTCTTCAACTGATCTCTGACCGAGAAGACGTCGGCTGGTTGTAGCAGCAGCCGACTAGTACGAGTTACTTTTTTTACAAATTGTGATGAATTGGAAACGACGACTACGACAAACTCGAATTTCAACGTGCCGCCATGTTATGTCTGCAGTGTGACCTTCACCATGTACACCTCATTTTGCACGTGTTTCCGCGCCCACCTGTGGGCATTCATGAATATTTAATAACAATGAATTTCCTGCAGAATAAACCAGTCGGGGTGATTTACTCATATTCGCGATTTTTTTTAATTTTATTTAAACTACAAAAAAACAAATTAATCTCCCCGACTGCGCCAGTCTAGTTAACAACTGGCACAGTTAGTGTACAACTCGTCTGCGCGGATTGGAGTTACAAATAATTGCCTCATGCGCACAGTCAGTTTGTTTAGTATTTAGTACTCCTCAATACTATATATTAGTTATTGTCATGCTGACGGGGCTGCCAAATGTATATTTGTTATTAAAGCGGGAGGGTCGTCACCTGCCACGCGCGGGAATTGAGT